CAAATACACTCAAAGTATGGTTATGTGACTTTAATATTTAATTTATTTGAGCAACAATAACAATGAGCACCAATTATTCATCCAAATAATTTATAATGAGCTATATTAGTGTTTTCCCTCTAAATTGACAAAGGAAATATTAATTTACTCAACCACAAACATTGAATATGAAAAATTAAAAATAAAGGTTCTTGTCCATACTGTAAAGCACAGTATTTTTCAATTTATAAATGGGTTGTGTTGTGATTATTTGGTTCAAGTGTTTCAGATTTTAGAACTTTCAATTGGTTTGTTTTATTTTTATCTAAACTTCAAGAACCAACCAGCTCTTCTATTACTTTCAAGTTCTTAAAAGCCCTAGTGGACAGTTATATATTATGCTACGATTAAACTTTGTCCAAAGAGAACGTTTGGGAATTGTCCTTGTAATTAGTTAAATTAGATAGGTTAAATCTCTTATTTGGTCCTTCAATTATTATACATACCTTTAATTTGATCCATAAATTAAAAAAAAATCCATGATTTAGTCTCTAAATTATTATACAGACCCCGATTTGGTCTCTACTCTTTATCAATTTACCCCAAGTTGGTCATTCCGTACAAAAACCAACTGATATGTTTTGTTGTTAACGTGATATGTGGGGTGTTAAATTATTGTTTTTCATCATTAAGTAATGAATATGTCAACTGTTTTCTGTACAAAAAGACCAACTTAAGGCAAATTAATAAATAATAGGTACTAAATTAAAGTTCGTACAATAACTTAAAGACTAAATGAGAAAAAATTTTAATTTAAGATCAAATTAAATGTCTATATAATAATTTAAGTACCAAATTTAAAGTTTACCCAACTGGATAAAGTGGAAGAAGAATGGAGGATGGACATAAAAGGCATTAAAAGCCCCTACCAAACACAATCTGATAGGTCACTGTTGGTCCCTCCGCATAGCCCATTTTCCACAAACTAAAGGCTCCACCAACCACAGGTTGGGTTTTTCTACCAAAAAAAAAAAAAAACCACAGGTTGGGCTGGCACCGGGTGCGGTTGTGACCATTGTAAGAATGTGTTAAGATTATATAAATTTGTTAATATTATCTGAAAAACAATATTAGTTTTATTTGATTTGATTGATACAAATAATTAATAATTAAGTGATAGAATGATTAATATTTATTAATTAATAAAGTAAAATTAACTTATAAGTTAATATTTTCAAACATTATAATTAATTAATTAAAAAATTAAAAACAAATAAAATATTTATCAAATCAAATGCACACTATAACTTATGTAGTTTTAACAAATTATTTTGTAGACATTACCACAACCAGTGGCATCAAAGCAGTGTCAGGTGGGTAATTATAAATTAAATATCAATTTATTTGTTATAAATATGTATAAATATATATAAGTTAACATTAATTTTAATGTTAATATCAAGTAAATAAATTTAATTAAATAATTGATAAATTAAAATTTCAATTTTATTTTTTAAATATAAATTTATAACAAAAAATCATATTTATTACATTTAAAACATAAATTAAGAAAACCCAAATCTAAATTTTGAATTTACATTTATTCTTAAATATACAAATGAGTCGCAAATGAAATTTTTTGTGCAATAACTGAAAGATGCTTTAAAGATTTGACAAATTTTAGACTCAATCATATCATTTCTCATAAATTATTTTTTTAAGTGGTAATTATACCAATAATATTAGCATATACTTTAAAAGATGGAGGAGTGTTAATTCTAAAACCCAAACTTGGTCACTGGGGGGTGCCATGCCTTTGCTTCTCAAAGAAAAACATGACCATAGGACCATATAGGTGATTGGCATTTCTCACAAACCATTGATCAACAAAACCAAAAAGATAGAACCGCTCGCTTTAGTTCAATGGTATTGGACTCCTAAGTTATAGCTATTCACTTTATGTGGGTTGCGTGTTTGAATTTCATGGAATTCCTTTCCACATGCTATCAATTAATAAGTAAATAATTACAATTGATTTTAAAAAAACAAAAACAAAAAACAAAAAACAAAACCAAAAGATAGAACCACTCACTTTGGTTCAATGGAATTGGACTCCTAAGTTGTAATTGTTCATTTCATGTGGATTGCGTGTTTGAATCTCATGGAATTTCTTTCTACGTGCTCTCAATCAATAAGTAAATAATTACAATTGATTTAAAAAAAAACAAAACCAAAAGATAATCCACTTTGGGCAGATGACACGTCCTGGTGTCTTTGTCAATGTCCTGAATTTGGCAGCTAATGTTACCCTACAATTTATTTAGGCAGAATCTCTGCTTCAAGACATTGCAGATTTGGAAAGATTTGTAATTGCTAATCTGCAATCGGCTTGGGCCTAGCTAATTAGATTAAGCGAATCAATTCTACATGCTAATTGCAAGTAATTTCATAGTTTAGCCCATCTTCAGTTAATTTCTTGTACATTAGAAGGTTGCAACACCAATATCTGCTTCTTTTTCCTTTGCCCATTCTAACCAATTATCTCACCCCTCCATTATTTTCTTCTTGCCTTAGAAAAAAGGCAAAACCTGGTGAGAGTTTATGGCTGGAGAGCGACGTTCCTGAGACACCCTCCAAAGAGGACACCATGACCTCCAATTCTTCTTTCCCCATTCCTTCTGTATCCATGTGAATTTAAGCCAAAAAAGAAAAATCATACTAATTGAAGTGCAGATGGGGTTACAAGAAGAAGAAAAGAAGAAAGTTAGGGATGTGTCACGGGCTAAATAGTAAAGTCGTGAAAAGTGGCTGTTGGAACTTGGAAGATTGAAGCAAATAATAAAATATATAATATATGCCCTACTTATTATTGTCCTATTCCGTAAATTTTAAAACTTAATCATTCCCACTCCACAATTCGTCTGGTTCTCCGCATAATGTTAGGCGACAAATTGACAACTAGTAGTTCCAAAAAGACGATTTAAATCCAGCATCTTCCGTCAGTGTCTTAAAATCACTTATCTTTGTTTTCAGGCCACATTACATTATTCCCGTACACTTTCCACGTGACACCTTATCACCAGCCTTATTTTATTTTATTTTTAAATTTAATTTCTCTTTAATGTTAGTGTTTAATTATTTGTATTGCATTGTAAAACACAAAATTATTACTATTATTAAATGAGGAGCTTTTCCTTATATTTAGGGATTTGTAATTTGACCATTTATATTTGGATTAGATAATATATATATTTTTTATTTTGATTGGATAATGAAAGGTAATTATTTTTCATTTTTTATCTTATTCTACCTGAATAGCATACAACTCGAATATAAAACATTTTACTTTCAACGAAAAGAAATAACCACTAAATTATTTTGATCATTGGTATTAAATAATAGTCTTGTGTTTTTTCTTTTTTCTCTTTAATAAAAAAGTTTAAACACGATTTCTTAGTAGCATTTGGGTTTAAAGGTGTGTTAGTAAAATCAAAACTATTGAAATTTATGGAAAAAAAAAGGATTTTTTTTATTGAAAATATAATTGTATTAGTAATTAAAATAGTTACAATATAAATTATACACATCACCATATAAGTTGTATAAAAAATATAAAAAAACTTAAGAATGAACTAGTACACTAATATAAAGAGATATTCTTCTGTACAAAGTAAGAATTTTCATTACCCTTCTTTACAAATAATAATATTATTATATTGGGTAGTAGAGAAATTAACCCTTTTTTTTCCTATGTAGTTAGACAAGGCAAATGGGAGGCAGTAATTTGCCTTTGCCTTTGCCTTTGCCTTTTCAATGCACATTCTATCTGAGTTCATACATCAAGGAAGAAGATTATCATGAAACCACGTACAAACTCATCTGGCGAAGAAACAATTAGCTATTTTGTTTATAATAAGTATCAAATTAATTAAGTTAATTTAGTTTTACAGTTTTGGAAGGAATCAGATTCAAGTGTGTACAGAAGCAGTTAGTAGTATTTGTATTACAGATGTTTAATATTGAGAAAGGTGAGCACATGGTGCAATACTTGGAAGGCAATGCAGTTCGTCTTGAGATCCACACAATCAGTCTCGACCTACCTTTGTATTTGACAATATGGACCCTGAAATCTGAATTGTATTTAGTTTTACATTACATAGAGTGTTGGAAGGACAAAAGTCAAAAGTGAGGGCAAAGTAAATTAAACAAGCTATTAAGTATTTCAAGGGATGAACTCCACGCTATGAACCAATGGCCACAACCTTATTATAAAGGGAGATCACCTCATATGAGTGTGTATTCAAAGTCTAGATCCCATTTTTCATTTTCCCAAATTATCTTATTTTTACCAAAAAAAAAAAAAAGAGTATTTCAATGGACGGTGTTACAAGAGAGGAAAATGATTTGGACTTTGACACACACATCAAGACTCAATTAATTTAATAATTAAAATATAATATAAGTATAATTATTTTAGTTAATTATTTTATGCTACATAATTAATTGTATTTTTAAGTTTTTTTTTTTAATTTTAAATTAAATTAATAATATTTTAATAAATATATTGTAAAAAATATTAAACAAAAAAATATTTTTATCAAAGTTCTATAAGAGAAGGTGGAAACTAAAGGTTTATTTGGTTTTTATGGGACTATTTTTAGATAATTAGTCCATTTTCATTGTAAGCTAATTAATTATACCACAGATCTTGCCACTAAAAGTTAGTAGAGAAGGTGGTAAAAGTTCACTCAATTTTTTAGATGTGATATTTTCCTTTTAATTTTTTTAAAAAATAGTTAATCAATACTAATTAATATCTTTTTAAATATTATT